ACTACTGGGAGTTGCTCTAAATTGTAAAATAAACAGTTTTGAAAACACACACACAAGGAATTCTCTGAGGATGGATAGAGGCCAAATTCTATTATAAAATCCGAGGACCATCCAGTTCTTCTGTCGTGTAAGTATTTCATCATCTCAGCTACAGAACCCATACCCTATACGCAGGGCGGCAGCTGAGCTGGTGAATCTTCTCGTTCCCAGACAGAGTGCTAACGTGCACGACATTCAGGCTGCACAAAACCAATGATGTCACCATTTTCATCAATGGACAGTGAATACCCACACATGCACATAAGTACACACACTGTTCACACACCACAGAAAGGTAGCTACATAGACATTATTTATAGTTGTCAACCACTCTCTAAAATTGTGTCTTTCCTAAAGGTTTTCTTTTTTAATATTAAAATGTCCTTTCTTGGGGCGCCTGGGTGGCTCAGCTGGTTAAGCAACTGCCTTCGGCTCAGGGCATGATCCTGGAGTCCCTGGATCGAGTCCCGCATCGGGCTCCCTGCTCGGCAGGGAGTCTGCTTCTCGCTCTGACCCTCCCCCTCTCATGTGCTCTCTCTCATTCTCTCTCTCTCAAATAAATAAATAAATAAAATCTTTAAAAAAAAATGTCCTTTCTTTTATGAAATAATGGTCACAGTATTTGGTAGTTGGCTTTTTAAAATGCTGACAGCCAAGGGGCGTCTGGGTGGCTCAGTCGGTTAAGCGTCTGCCTTCGGCTCAGGTCATGATCTCAGGGTCCTGGGATCGAGCCCCACATTGGGCTCCCTGCTCTTGGGGAGCCTGATTCTCCCTCTGCCACTCCCCCTGCTTGTGCTCTCTGGCTCTATCTCTCTGCCAAATAAATAAAATCTTTAAAAATAAAATAAAAATAAAAAGTGTTCTTAAAAGATACTTACATAAATATAAAGATTTTTGGGACGCCTGGGTGGCTCAGATGGTTAAGTGTCTGCCTTTGGCTCAGGTCATGATCTCCAGGTTCTGGGATCGAGTTCCACATCGGGCTCTTTGGCTCAGCAGGGAGTCTGCTTCTCCCTCTGCCTCTCCCCACTGCTCATGCTCTCTCTCTCTCTCAAATGAATAAATAAAATCTTTGAAAAAAAAAATGTTGACAACACTATCCCTATCTGTAAAAAAAGTTTTTTCTTTAATTTTACAGGTCCATGAACTCCAAAAGTCTACGTGGGGAACATATATATGTGTGTGTGTGCATAATGAAATATTATTCAGCCATAAAAAGAAAAAAATCCTGCCATTTGCAAGGACATGGATAGACTTCGAGGGCAATATGCTAAATGAAATAAGTCAGAGAAAGACAAATACTGGATGTTTTCACTTATGCATGGAATCTAAAAAAGCAGAACTCATAAAAATAGAGGGTAGAATGGTGGTTGGCAGGGGCTATAGGGTGGGGGAAATGGATATAAACTTCCAGTTACAAGATGAATAAGTTCCAAGTGATCTAATGTACACGTGGTGACTATAGTTAACAATACCTATTCTATACCCGAAAGTTGCTAAGAGAGTAAATCTTAAATGTTCTAACTACCAAAAAAATGGTAATTATGTGAGGTGATGGAGGTGTTAACCACCTTATTGTGGTAATCATTTCATAATACATATGTGTAACAAATATCATATGCCTTAAATTTACACAGTGTTACATGTCAATTATTTCTTAATAAATCTGGGGGGAAAGAAAAAAAAATCCGAAAGTCTACAAATGACAACTTTCTAATTAAAATCTTGCTGGCTTCTTTCTTTTCGAGAGAAAGCCAAACTCCTTGGCCTGGCATTCAAAGCCCCCTACACCTGGTCTTAATCTACTTGTCTTGCTTTCCTTATTGTAATAGGAGCAGTCAGTGGGTCAGCTCCTACCGGTCCTCACCTGCTCTGGCTAAGGTTACTGAGGTAACCTTCAGCCTCAATCCTCCTAGTTCCTAGTTCCCGACATTAGCAGGGGTCATTAAAAGCACAGTTCTGCAAGAGGTGTGCAAGGAAAGTACTAGGAACTCAAACTCACTGAGCTGCAACCTTCCATTGGGCCCACAGAGCTGTGCTGGGCTCACAGTGTAATATTCCTCTTCCCATGGGCCACAGGAGCTCTCCCTTGAATTCCAGCTCAGATGGGGGCCCTAAAACATTTGCCTAGATGTCACCAGTTTTTTCCTGTTCTCAGTGACTACAGTATGTCCCCCGGAGTCAACCTCCAAACCCCAAAGGCCACCTGGGACCAAGGTGCAAAGCAGACCTCTATTCCAAGAAATTCCTCACACTGCCTCCTACTGAACCCTGGCTTTCTTTCCTTTCCCTCTCTCCCTGGCCTGCTAGCACCCAGCAGGTAATCTTGGCTAAGACTTTAGGGTTATAACCCATGTTCCCTCAATATACTGTTTTCGAATTTGCACCTTTTCCTTGGAGAGACTCTCTGCCCTGAATGCCTTATTTCTCATTGCATGCCTCCCTAAACACTTCAAAGTCTAGTTCAAACATGCCTCTAAACACTTTATATAGAGGGTTCTTGCCAGCCTGGGGACACAAGGTGAATGACACAGACCCCGCTCATCAGGAACCCAGTTTATCAGGATTGAGAGCCAAGGGGAAATTTTTCTTATTTCCCTTCCATGAGTTAAGCATCTGAAACACAGGGTGTACAACTTCCTATAAACCTTGTTTTAGGGGCACCTGGGTGGCTCAGTCGGGTGGGCGTCCGACTCTTGGTTTTGGCTCAGGTCACGATCTCAGCGTCGAGAGAGAGTCCTGTGTCTGGCTTGGCGCTCAGCAGGGGAGTCAGCTTCAGATTCTCTCTCCCTCTGCCCCTCCCCCCACTCATGAGCGTGCGCTCTCTCTCTTGCTCTCAAATAAACAAAATTTTTTAAAAAACACTGTTGTAGGGCGCCTGGGTGGCTCAGTTGGTTGGGCGACTGCCTTCAGCTGAGGTCATGATCCTGGAGTCCCGGGATCGAATCCCGGATCGGACTCCCCGCCAAGCGGGGAGCCTGCTTCTCCCTGTGACCCTCCCCCCTCTCATGCTCTCTCTGTCTCATTCTTTTTCTCTCAAATAAATAAATCAAATATTTAAAAAAAAACAAAAAACAAAACAAAAAAAACCACTGTTATAACCAACTGAGCCACCCAGGCGCCCCTAAAAAAAACACTGGTTTAGGCACAATGAGGCTCTATACATATTTACTGAATGATTAAATGGAGAAAATGTGACTTCATCCAAGAAACTTTCAATTTACTGTTTCAGCAAATATTTAAGTACCTGTTATGTGTTGGGGATATCACAGAAGGCTGAGAAGTTAGGGCTCCGAAGAAGAGACTCTATCAGTAATCTAGTCCCATCACCTCACATAGATTGGGGGAGTCTACATCTGGGCACTCGGTTCTGAAGAATGGGTGCTCTGTGCTTAAAATCAGCCTCCCGTGCACACAGCCCTTTCCTTTACGTAGCACCATTATTCAGTTATTTAAAGAACATATCTGACTTCCTAATGTACTGGCAACAACCACTCTTCCTAAGAGCATGTTTTGTTAACATTTTTTTTTCAATCTCCAGTAACGTGTATTGGAGGCCTACTAAGTGCTTAGTAATCCATACAGAGACACAGAGGTCCCCATCCTGGAGGAGCTCAATTAATTCAGGGAGCTACACCTGCAAACCCAGTATTGCTAAAGAGCGCTGAGAGGGTTGAGGCATTCACAGGTGATCTTCGGAATCAGAAAAAGAGTATCTCCCCACTAGAAACAGATTGTCTTTTCTTTGGTGTAAAAGAATCCTTTGACATTCAAGTATCACCTTCTCCTCTATGGAGGGCCTGAGAAAGTGAAAAACACCCAACAGCCCAAAAGAAAGGGTGAGAACCTGTCCCCATGGACAGGGGGTCCCCAGGCCATGGGATGGGCAAATACCGCTGGTCTCACCCCTTCCTAGGGGAGGGCCTCTCGGGGTGTGGGTGGAGGATCCTTGGAGGTGTCTTCTCAGAATAGATAAGATCTGTTGGTTAAGAACATCCCAAACCGAAAGAGAGGTTTCCTATTATCCACTCATTTCAATTTACCCAAAGCCTGCTAATTCACATTCAGGGTCCTCATCCAGAGATAACCCCACACTCAAGCCATGGGAAAGAGAGACGCTGAGAGAGGCCTGGAGAAAACAAAGAGGCAGGGATAAGAGAAAATCCCCTGGATGTTCCTCTCCCTCCCACTAGGCTGCTCCTTCCCTCGACATAGAGTTGGTTATACATGTCCGAACACAGAGGCCCTAACTGTTTGAAACCAAGTTAATCCCACTATGTTCATTACATGTCACACTCTATGTTGGGATTTAGGTTTCCGCACAGACATTCAGAAAAGCAGCCTCTTCCTATTACAGGAAAAAATGCTCTCAGCTTGTAATAAACTTTTTCCACCACTCTGATTTCACGGTCTTCTAGGGTTAACAAATATTTTAAAAGTGATCATTTCACTTCTTTAAGAAGAATCCTTTTTCTAGAGATAGGACATTATAATGTTCAGCAGCAGATTAGTGTGAGGTGCAGAGAAAACCTGTCAGCTTTCTAGCAGTTGGAAAACAGGTAAATGATTAATTCTCTTAATGGGCTGAGAATGTCAACAGAAGATGGCCTGGAAGTTTAAAACTCATGAATGCTAGCAAACTGGAGTTGTGGTAAATTCCTGTACTATCAAAGTTGATGGCTCTTCAAGAACCAGGTCTAGAGCTCACACGGGAGAGAAGTTTCAAGGAAGAAAAATGAAACACCCCACAGCATCTCCAAAAGTGAACCCCTTTCCCTGCACAAGTCCCGCCCCCCCCCCAAGTAATTGGTGACTTGTACACAGACGTTCCATTTGTGTCAATGAGGACAAAAGTCCGTGCGGGAAGGAGATGTTACCACATCTTAACACATTTATTAGACATAATACGACTCGCTTTAATTTTTTAGTCCCTATAAAATTCACTTTAAAGAATCCATTACCTTGAGCATGCGGATTTCTCGAAGTGCGATTTTCTTTATGACAGGGTCATCCTCTGATTCCAGAAATCTCTTGATGGCTACAATCTGACCCGTGTCCCTGTTTCTGCATTTGAAAACAACTCCATAGGATCCTTCGCCAATTTTCCCAATTTTTTCATACTTCTCCATCATAGAGGAAAAAATCTTAAAACGGATCTTCACATAGTTTGAAAATGTCGCTTATGGAATACTGGCTCGAACAGACTGCACTAGAGCCCCACTCAACGATGGGTCTTTGTCAAGCACCTGGAACAGAAGGGCACTTGTTAAAGAATTAGGAATCGACCCGTGTCCTTAAACCTCGCCCCTCGGCCATGGCAACAAGATCCGGCATGACAGCCTAGAGCTCGCTGCCTTCCCTAACCCAATTCTAATGCGACCCGTCATCCTAAAACGAACCGAGTTGTAAGATAATCTATCTTGTTTAACGTTCTAGTTCACCCGGTCTAAGACACTCGAGCCGGCTGCAGGGCTGGGAAGGCTCAGGGCTTCCCCGGTTCTCAGTTCGGGTCTCATTTCCCTTGGGCAAGGAGACACCTGCCGGGGCCCCGCGGGAGCGGCGAGGCGAGGGCCCGAGGCGCGGGAGCCGGGCGCCCCCCGGGTGGGCCTCGGCGGGGAGCGGGGCCGCGCCGTCCCCCCCGCGCCCCGCGCCCGGCCCGCGCCGCGCAGCCTCGAGCGGCGCCACGTGGCGCCCGGGCCCGCAGTCCCGGCCCGCGCGCCTTCCCCGCCCCGGACTCACGGCGCCGCGGCTGCCCGGCCGGCCCTGCTCCCGCCTCGCCGCCTCTCTCGCGGCTGCGCTCGCCGCCGCCCCGGCCGCAATCCCTATGGGAACGGGCCCCCGCCCCCCGCCCCGGGCTGGCCTGGGCGGGGCCGCCGCACCCCCGCGGCGGGGATGGGCCCCGTGGGCGGCCCCGGGGCCCGGTGCCGCGCGTCCCTCCGCGGGGAGAGGAGGCCTGCAGGCCTGCAGCCTCGGGCAGCGTCGGCTGGGAAGACGCCTGGCCGGGAGCAGCCCGGCCCCCAACCCCCGTGCGCTCTGAACTCCTCGGGCAGGGCGGGCCCCGCACGGTCAGAGAACCGGTAACTCCGTCGTAGCCTGGGCTAGACTGCAAACGCCTTTATGTCTGTCCTGATCAGTGCTGCAGCATCCAGTCAACGAATGTGAATGAATGGCGGAGAGAGAGGAAAAGAGGGAGGAGGAGGTATGATGACTGAAACTGCTTAAGGTCAGCACTTCCCTCCATTAGCCTGCGGGTCCATCACCATCGACTTCCTAGATAGCGGGGCTTTCTGATGTGGGAGATGGAGTTTTACAGAACCCACCTTGGTTTAGCGTTTTTGTTTTGTTTTGTTTTGTTTTTCTTAAGTCATCTCCACGCCCAACGGGGGACTCAAACTCAGGACTCTGAGGTGAAGAGTCCTAAGCTCTACCGACTGAGCCCTCTAGGCGCCCCATCTTAGGTTCTTTATTCCCGTCCGTCTCCCAACTGGTTCCTACTCACTCAAGTCTGGGCACAATGGTGGGAAGTTCATGGACCTGAGGAAATCATGAAATAGTTTGCTACTAGGCAGACTGCCACAGTACTTTATCATCTAGCCCATTCCATATGCCCAGCGCTGAGACGGGTGTTTGCCTTGGAAGTGACACCCGAGGAGAGGAAAGTGTCATACTGTCTATGCACCAAGCAGCATGCCACTAAAGGTAAATCTGAATAGGGTTCAGGAAGGAGCTGAAGCTGGGAGGAGAGGAATTGGTGGCTGCCTTGACCAGGGAGTCGCATATAGAGGGGGTCCAGGGATGAGCTACAGGTGAGCTGTGAACCTCCTAGAAATTGTTTGCAAATGGCCACCACTGATATGTTTTCTGTCTCTATAGTTTTGCCTTTTCCAGGATATCATATAAATGTACCCTTTTGAGGCTAACTAAATTTCTTTTACTTAACATAATGCATTTGAGATTCACCCATGTAGTTGCATTTCTCAGTAGTTCATTCTTTTTCATTGCTCAGTAGTATTCCATTGTATGGATAAACCAGACTTTGTTTATCTATTTCCAGTTGAAGAACATTTGAGTTGTTTCTAGTCTTGGTGATTATAAATCAAGCCACTATAAACATTCATGCATGGTCTTTTGTGTGAGCATATGTTTTCCTTTCTCTTAGGAAAATAATACTTAGAAGGAGTACTGCTGGGTCACAGGATAAGTATATGTTATTGTAAGTAATTGCCAAAATGTTTTCTAAAGTCACTGTGCCATTTTACATTCCTGCCAGCAATGTTCCAATTACTCTGCATCTTTGCCAGCACTTCGTATTCAGGTCTTTTGATTTTAGCCATTCTAATAGGTAGGTAATTGGCTCTTGTGGTTTTAATTTGCATTTCCCTAATAACTAATGTTGAGCAGTTTTCCATATGCTTATTTACCTTCTGGATGTTTTCTCACCAGTTCTAGCTTTTTGTAAATTCCTTGGGGTTTTCTATATAGACAGTCATGTCATCAGCAAATAGGGATAGGTTTAGTTCTTCCTAACTGGTATACCTTTTCTTTCTTTTTCTTGCCGTCCTGCACTTGATAGGCCCTCCAGTGTGATGTCAAACAGGAACAGTAAGAGCAGACATTTCTTTTTTTTAAAGATTTTATTTATTTATTTATTTGAGAGAGAGAGAGACAGTGAGAGCAGGAACACAAGCAGGGGGAATGGGAGAGGGAGAAGCAGGCTTCCCGAGGAGCAGGGAGCCGGATGCGGGGCTCAATCCCAGGACCCTGGGATCATGACCCGAGCTGAAGGCAGATGCTTAATGACTGAGCCACCCAGGCGCCCCGAGAGCAGACATTTCTATTACTGATCTTAGGAGGAAAGCATTGTCTTGTACCACTAGGTATGATGTCAGTTAGATCTCTTAGTAGATGCTGTGGTAGGCAGCCTCTAAAATGGTCCTTAAAGAGCCCTGCCTCCTGGTATTCATGCCCTTGTGTGTTTTCCTTCCCTTCAGCGTAGGCTTGACCTCGTAACTTGCTTCTAAGGAATAAAATATGGCAAAGGTAATGGAATATCACTGCCAAGATTAGATTACAAAGAGACGGATTTCCGCCTTGGGTACTCTCTTTCTCACTTCCCCTGAGGGAATTCACATGCCATGTTACAAGCTGCCCTATGGCAAGGTTCTGAGGAGGCCAACAGCCAAGAATTTAGGCACTCAGTCCCATGTTCTGTGAGGAATTGAATCTTGCCAACAACCATGGGAATGAGCTTGGAAGTGGATCTCCCCACTGCCTCTCTTGCTCCAGTGAGCTTCCAGAATAGACGGTAGCCACAACTGATGACGAAAGTTCAATCTTGTGAGAGACCTTGAGTCAGAGGCACTTAACTGGTCATATCTGGATTCCTAATCTGCAGGAACTGTGAGATAGTAAGTGTTTAATATTTATATTTTGGGGTTGTTTTGCCTCAATATAGAACTGACATAGAAGCCCTTTATTAGATTGAGAAAGTTTTCTGTAATCCAATTTGCTGAGAATTTTTTTTTAAATAGTGAATGGATGTTGAATTTACCAAATACTTTTCTGCATCTATTGAGATGAGCGTATGTTTTTTCTTACTTAGTCTGTTGATACAGTGAATTACATTCATAGATTTAAAAATGCTGAGGGACACCTGGGTGGCTCAGTCCATTAAGTGTCTGCCTTCGGCTCAGGTCATGATCCCAGGGTCCTGGGATGGAGCCCCATGTCCGGCTGCCTGTTCAGTGGGGAGCCTGCTTCTCCCTCAGCCTGTCGCCCCACCTTCTTGTGCTCTCTCTCTCTGTCAAATAAATAAAATCTTTAAAAATAAATGAACACAAAGAAATAAAAAATTAAAATGTTGAATGCAAAACTTGCATTCCTGGGATAAACCCAACTTAGTTATGATATTCTGTCATTTTGCTACGTTGCTGGAGTCAGTCACATTAAGAATTCTTGAATTAATATTTCTGAGAGACATTGATCTATAGTTTTCTTGTAATGTCTTTCTCTAGTTTTGGTGTCAGGGTAATACTGATCTCATAAAATGAGTGGGGAAGTGTTTCCTTCTCTTCTGTTTTCTGGAGACGTTTACATTAACTTGGTATTATTTATTCCTTTAATGTTTGCTAGAATTTTTCCAATAAAGCCATCTGAGTATGGAGTTTTCCCTGTTGAAATGTTTTAAACTACAAATTCTATTTCTTTAATAAAATATATAAGGCTATTCAGGATATCTATTTTTTCTTGAGTGAGTCTTGGTAGCTTGTATCTTCAAGGAATTTGTCTATTTCATCTAGATACTGGAGTTTATGGGTATAAAGTTGTTCATATATAACAATATTACACTATCATCCTTTTAATGTTGTTAATGTATAATACTATGACATTATTACCCTTTTAATATTTATAGGATATATAGTGGTGTTCCCTATGTCATTCTTGATATTAATAATTTGTTTTTTTCCCCTTCTTTTTCTTGATCAGGTTGACTAAGTCTTATCAATTTTATTGGTTTTTTAAAAGAAACAGCTTTTGATTTAGTTGATTTTGTCTATGATTTTTCTGTTTTTCACTTTCATTGATTTCATCTCTTTATTATTTTTTCTTTCTGTTTGCTTTGCTTTTAGCTGCTTTTTCTAGCTTTTTTAAAGATGGAAACCTAGACCATTAATTTTAGATATTTCTTGTTTATAATATAAGCCTTTGATGCCATATATTTTACTCTCTAAGCACTACTTTAAATGTATCCCAGAAATCTTAATATGTTGTATTTTCATTTTCATTCAGCCCAAAGTATTTTCCAACTTATCTTGTGACTTCCTTTTTGACCCATGGGTTATTTTGAAGTGTGTTGTTTAATTTCCAACTACTTGGGGACTTTCTAGATATCTTTTTATTCCTGATTTCTAGAATCAGAGTTCCGTTCTTTTCAGAGAACTCTCTTTGTATGATTTAAATTCTTTGCAATGTATTAAGACCAGCCTATGGTCTATGTTGGTGAATGTTTCTTTTTGACAAGTTAAAAAAATTATTTTTAAGTGATATGGGAAAGTCAGTGTGACTTTCTCCAGGGCTGCCTTATCTGAAGTTCATACCAGGCTGCAGTGAGTCTGGAAAATTAACTTTATGGACCCTGCAAGGTTCAGTACCCAAGGAGCCTGGAACTGTGCCCAGCCCAGTGGTAGTTAAGGTAGGGAGCAAGGGCACCATTTATTTCCGCCTCCGTGGGCAGTGAACCAGAAAGCCAGCGTGACTGGCAACAGCACCAGTTGTGTTGTTTGGAGGAAGTTGGCGCAAAATACTAGAGGATCACTTTGAAAGGGAGAAAAAGAGTTGATGTCACCATTTAGCACCAAACAGAGAGGATAATGTGGCCTCTCTACTGTCAAACCACAGGGAGTGCTTTTGGTCGGCAGGACTGAAATCCGTCTTGATATCAGAGAAATACAGCTCCTGGGAAGTAGAGTTCTTGGGAACTGAGACATGGTCCGATATGTGGGCCTTCCTTCTCAAGCAAGAGCAAAGAACAGTGAGACATTATCTTTTTCTCCTTACCGTGATCTTTTATTTGTAGCTCTGCATCATTAGAGAGAATCCTTCAGTGTCCCTGGATTATGCAGACAGTACTGAGGTATTTTAATCATTGAAGGAAGCAGTAAACATTCTGCAAGGTAACAAACACATGGTGAAAGAGAAAGAGCCTGGGGTTTGGAGTCAGAAGACTAGGATTTCTACCTTCTTACTGGTGTTTGATATTGTGCAAGATAATTACTACTGCATAAGCAATAATTGTTTAACTAGTGTTTTCTTCCTGGCAGATGTCATGCTCAGAATATTTTATACGTGAGCCTCACAACAGTCCTGGGAGATGGGCATCAACATTATCGAGAGGTTTCACATGAGGACGGTGAGTTTTAGAATGGGTAAGTCCTCTAAGGACACAAAGCTAGTGAGTTGTGAAGCGGGGATGGGGACATAGGCAGTGAGTCCAGAACCTTTGCTCCTGTTTCGCTAAACCTACCTAATGTGTAGGGGTGGTTGTCAGGACTTTTTTTTTTATAAAGTTGTTTTTCTTTTTTTGAGAGAGAGTGAGCAAGAGCACACAAGCAGGGGGAGGGGCAGAGGAAGGAGCAGACTCCCCGCTGAGCAGCTCCATCCCGGGACCCCAGGATCATGACCCACGCAGAAGGCAGACACCTAACTAACTGAGCCACCCAAGCACCCCAGTTGTCAGGATTTTTGAATGAAGGTATAGGACACTGGGAGTTGACCCAAAGTACTTACAGTGCACAATGTAGCACCCTCCTTTTTTTAGAGCTGCCAGGAAGATGAGTCTTGTCATTAAGCTTCCTTCTCACACTCTGGAGAACTAACGTCCCCGAGGTTGGGCAGAGTACTGACAGCTCCTCTGAGTGCTGAACACAGGGCAATGCTGGAAGCTTTTTCTTTTTTTTTTTCCAATTCTATTTCCTTATGGAAAAGGGAGTTGAGTCACCGTGATCTTAAAATGACACTATACAGCTGCTTGAGGAAATACTTGAATTCACTTTCCCTGCTTTAAGTGGGTTTGGAAAGGAAATCATTCCATGGGCACACACAGAGAATAGTTAATAACTACCATTTAGGGACACTTATGTTTCAGGCTCAATAACCACATTATCTTGAATCTTTATAACAATCCTACATGGTTGGATATATTAACTGGTTGGAGTTATTAACAGCCCCATTTTATAAAAGAAGAAGCTGAGCCTCGGAGAGGTTGATCAGAGTAGACAAGCCATCCAGCTCTCCAGGGCTGGAGAGCCAGGTTTCAAACCCAACTGCACCTATTTGCAAAGCCCGTGCTTTGGAGGTGCCACAGGGAATGGTGACAACGAGGACCATCTGTGAACAACCTAAAGTGACAGATCACTGCTAAACATGGAAGTAACTGTTCCCCTTATCTGGAGACTGGTGAATTAATGTAAATATGGGAAAATAACTGTAAATTAAATAAGGGTCTATCATCCTTGACTTTATCTGTGAGCCTAGCCAACGGTGAAATAAAGTATTTTCATCCCTAATTAACATAACCTTAGTTATTTTGTGTGTGTTTTTCCCTTTAAATACTTATTGCAGGGGCGCCTGTGTGGCTCAGTGGATTAAGGGTCCGAATCTTGATTTTGGCTCAGGTCATGATCTCAAGATCATAAGATTGAGCGCTGTGTCTGGGCTCTGTGCTGAGCGTGGAGCCTGCTTGAGATTCTCTCTCCCCATTCCCTCTCCCCCTCCCCACCCCCACTCATGCACTCACTTTCTCTCTCTAAAAGAAAAATAAAATAAATACTTATTGCATTTTACATATGGTAAGCTATCCTTTTAAAGAACCTCTTCTAAAAAACCTTCTTTGTTTCTGAATCTTAACAACCTCAACACCTTTTTTGCATTTCCAGATTTTAAAGCAAACACCCAGTACTTTCACCCTTGAACCCAAATGCCTTAAGAGCTCAGCAATATTAACACTAAAACCTTGGGAGAGTTATGTAGCTGGGCCTGGGCTACCAGTGGATGAGTCACTGTATACAATGATCCTTCTTCAGGAAATTAAGTTTCAAAACCTCAAAGTGGACATCTCTTTGCCACCTTGGACATTTGATTGCCTACCACACTTATCTTAAGGCAATCTATATACATTTCCGTGCTTTATTATTTTGAACCCTTACATGCTAGAAAATAAGTAAATTTTCCAAAGGTATAGATAGAGCTGTTCTGTAGGTTGACTTCATTGATGTGAATATTGGACCGTAGTTTGCCAAGATGTTACCATCGGGGGAAACTGGGCAGACAGTTTACAGGATCTTTACAACTGTATGTGAATCTGCAATTTACCTAAAAAAAAAGAGAGAGAGAAAAAAAATTCCCAGACCAATACAAGAAGTAATTTTCCTGGTTTCACACAGCCAAAAAAGGGTAGAACCCAGATCTGAACTCTGGTCTGATTGGCCCTCTTCACGTCCTGTCCCCTTCCTCTGAGACCGTCTGTTGAGCGATCGCAGCTATAGGATGCAGTTTTAGGAACTTCGAAAGAGCTCTAGGATTCCCTTAATATCCTATCTAATATAAAGTTTCATGTTATTATTTTACTTAAGTTCTGATCTTGAGGAAATGCAAATATCTGAAAAAGGAGGGCCATTGTAGACTCTAAATGACGTATCAATACAAGGCCACATCATACGTTGGAAAGAACACTCACTTGGGCATTCAGAGGTCTGAGCTCAAATCCCATCTCCTTATAACTAACTGTGTGATCCTGAGCAATTGGTTACCCTCTCAGCTTTTCTCCTGTACTAGAAGGAGGGTGAGGTACCCAGTCGCCGTCTAGCTCTTTGGTGCCATACTGCTGTAAGTGGGGGCTCTGGAAAGCAAGTTCTGACGTGGAGCAGAAAGGAGAGAGCAGACATGTCTGGGCCCTTGAAGGACTCTTGAACTCCTGGGGGGATAAAGGACACCAAAGGACCTCGGAATGATGGGTGTGTGTGTTCTTTCCAATGTCACCGTGGCTGCTATAAGGTGGTATAAGTAAATTGTGCTATAAGTAAAAACGTTAGCACAATAAGTGGCAGAAAAGTTAAGATTTTGTGGATTACCCTTTCTTTAGGTGGCCGGGAAGATGGTAGGCATTCAGACTAAGCATGTCTACCAAAAGCAGCCAACCATCTTTCAAAATAAGGAGAGGGTCCTGCTTGGAGAACTGGCAAGGAGAAGTTTCTGTGATACTACAGAAACATCGGTCTGGCTTCATGGTGCCCAAGGAGGCGATTGAGAGCACCTATATTGACAAGAAATGTCCCTTTGCTGGTAATGTCTCCATCCGAGGGCGGATTCTGTCTGGTGTGGTGACCAAGATGGTGAAGATGCACAGGACCACTGTCATCCTCTGAGCCTACCTCCACTACATCTGAAAGTACAACCACAGGACCACGTCCATGCACCTGTTGCCCTGCTTCAGGGACGTCCAACGTCATCCCTGCACTTCAACGTGCTCAAAGTCCCGAAGGCCACTGGCACCAAGAAGCGATTCCAGAAGTTCTGAGACTAGACATCTGTTCAAACCCCTGAAGAAAATAATTTTCCCAGTCAAAAAGATTCTGTGGAGTACTTAAGTATCTTGAAATTCTGCCCTTATAGATGGGATAGACATAGACTCACACTGCTAACTGAACCGTTCTATCTTCCATTCCTTTATGATCCACATTACTCTTATCTTTGATCTACCGTGAGTGCCACAGGTTCATTGTGCCCAAGTGTGACAGAAATAGTCTTTAAAGGGGCGCCTGGGTGGCTCAGTTGGTTAAGCGACTGCCTTCGGCTCAGGTCATGATCCTGGGGTCCCGGGATCGAGTCCCGCATCGGGCTACCTGCTCAGCAGGGAGTCTGCTTCTCCCTCTCCCGCTCCCCTCTCTTGTGCTCTCTCTCACTCTCTCTCTCTCAAATAAATAAATAAAATCTTTAAAAAAAAAAAAAAGAAATAGTCTTTAAAAATATACTTTCTGGTACACAGCAGGTACCTAACTAAAATTTGTTAATTCTCTGTACTTCTTCTACACCGCTAAGTTTTAGCAAGGGCAACTTAGAAATTTTCAGAGTCCATTCCAGTAAGGTTGGACCAGCTGGGGACACGAGGAGGAGAATGGAGAGTAGAAAAGGAGAAAAAACGTTCTTTCCATTTCTTGCTATTCCTTACCTGTGGGAGTTCTCCCCAGCTTCAGCTTCTTTTGACCCTTCCAGAACCTGAATTATGACCTACCTTCAGAGGTACCTGCATTAGCCAGGCAGCTTCTCTTCTCAAGTTGTGAGCCCCAACTTCATGGGCTCCTTCCTCTGAGCTCCTGATGAGCTTGGGGCAGCTGGGCAGCAGTCCGTCCACAGTGGTCAGAGCACCATCTTACCGGCTTTGTTCCTCTGAGTCACCAGCTTCTAGTAATCCCACACTGGACCCTTTGGTGCCTCCCACCCCGTTGGTGGTAACTGCTTTCTGCAGTTATTGTTTTCCTGGGTTCTCTTCATGTCCTATTTCTGCTAACATCTGTGGAACAACTGCACGTATTAATTCTCTAGTGAAATACCTACTGTGGTGTCTTATTTTGTTGCCTAGAGCCTGACTGATATTCTTAGACTCAATAGTGTTAACTAATTTACTCCCGATACTTGCGTCATTTTCAGAAAACTGGAAGGTATTTGCAATATATCTGCATTTTACAGGAGCAAGACTTGAGTCAAAGAAAATTTTTACTAGTTATACACGAGTAAGTTACTGCATGCTATTCATTCTATTGTAGTTTAATACAACAAATGTTTACTAACTACCTACTACGTGTCAGGAACTGTTCAGTGCTGGGGATGCAGATATAAGTGTCATTGTTCCTTATCCTTATGAGAGAAAGGAATTCCTACCTGTTGTATGGTAATAGGAGCTTTAATAAAGGATGCACAAGAGGTTGTCGGATCCTGGAGAAGGAGACTTTGTACACTGGGCTTTAGGAAAGTTTTTTTTAAAGATTTTATTTATTTGACAGAGAGAGCAAGAGAGCACAAACGGGGGAACAGCAGAGAGAGAGGGAGAAGCAGACTCCCTGCTGAGCAGGGAGCCCGATGTGGGGCTCGATCCCAGGACCCTGGGATCATGTCCTGAGCCGAAGGCAGATGCTTAACTGACTGAGCCACCCAGGCGCCCGTGGGCTTAAAGGAATTTAAGTGGACACTGGTGTTCACTGTGGGTTTTCAGAAACCATAAACAGAAGTATATCCTTGAAAGCTTGATACAGTCAGTGCTTTATATGGAGCAGTTACACGTCAAAGGGTTGGGATGCTCTGGCAGATGCTCAAGGACGAACATAGATCACTGGATTCTCTGTGTCCTATAGTTAATCGCAAATAACCACAGCGAAGTTACTAATCCAGGAGGATTTAGACTTGACAAACATGACCAGGATGAGGTCATATATCCAAAATTAAATGTCATATTTAGAGTGTGCTAAATCTTACACTCACCAAAATTGCTGAGGAAAGAACTTGTGGGTGAAGATCATAACGATTTAATCAACTGTTTCACTCACACGTGGTGAGTGGCTTTGGTTTTTTTTTAAGCTTCACCAAGTGATGGTTTATAGCTACACAGGACATCTGTTGCTTTTACCAGCTCAGCATCCATTTCTCCTTCTGTTAAAAGCCCAACCTTCCTTCCTTCTGCTTTGGCGATCTGTCTCACTGTGACTGCTGTTTTAAGGCACCTTCCCGTCCATGGCCAAGGGATGACCAACCCCAGGCTGAGCAGATTCTCTTCCCTCAGAACCAGAATCTTGCAGAAGTGGATTCCTCCTGAGACCCCAAGAAGCCCTGGCTCCTGCAACTAGCTCTTCTCTGAGCCCAGTTCTGCAGCTTTTTCTTGAATCTACAACCACCAAAGGACAGCCAAAGAACCCTGACACAGAAGCTTAACTATCACTTAATTTATTTCAGATAGTTTCTTCTGCCTGGAATGCTTCTTACTCCCATCTTTCCATTTCCAAATACTGTATTTCCTCCAGAGATACGGACTAGTTTAATGGCTTTCATAGATATTTGAGCTATACTTGTAGGTGTCTATTTATATGGTCGTGAAGGGACTGTCTGGATTCAGAGAGATGGATCTGGGATTCACCCCAACTTTCCAGTTAACTTAGTGTGTGAGCATGGCAGCTTTAGGTAGGTAGGTGCCAATCAGATCTCCCTTCAAGAGAAAACCTGCTGTAAGAAATTAGTGAACCTTCAGAATCCAGCTCAGCTTTGTCCAAGCTTTCACTTGGCTGCTCCCAGCTAATGACTGAGTTGCCTATGGTTTTGAAAGCTGAGTTCATCTTTTCTAACACGAAAATCCTCTAGTGGGCAGTCTTTGCTCTGGGGCTGCCCACTGACTGGCCAAGATGCTCTGCTCACAGAGCTGCACTGCAGTCTGAGGCTCTAGCAAATCATTCTTCCTCCCCGTCTCAGTTCACGTGTGTCACATCTGCCGGAGCCTTCCAGCTTACTCCTTCTCACTCTTATTTTCCACACAGCTGGTTCCCCAAGTAAGTCCCCTGCATTTGTAATTCCCCCTTCTGTGGAACAGTCTGTGACAAGGCCTAACCCCTTTGGTTTTCTCATTTATAAAACAGGAGCCCCACTTCTGATATCATTGAGTTAATGTTGAAAATTAGAGAA